TCGCTCCTGCACATAACTGCTTGGGAAAGGGGAGGGGATTGAAGGGGAGGGAAGTGGAGGAAGAGAGGAGAGGAGGAGAAGGGAGGGGGGGAGAGGAGGAGAGGGAAGGGGAGAGGGGATGCAATGGGGTCAAAACATTAATATTACTTGCACACTTAGTTGGTGGTGTGTGTGTGTGTTGGGAGAGGGGGGGAGGTGGGGGAGGGGGTCTGTGCGTATTGCTGTCCTGTATTCGATAGTGGCGTGATAAACTACTATTGCCATACAACCCTTCCCTCCAGTACCCCAATAGGCATTCTACCCTTTTCAACACCCTAAAAAAAATTCTCCCATGCCTCCCCACCTGATAATCTCGTCCAGAGTGGCCGCAATTCTTCTGTCCTCGTTATAAGCAGGGCACACCACAGTGAGGTATTTCTCTGCCGGGGCAAACAGAGACGGCAGTGGCACCTTGTCCACTGAAGTTGGGTCCTCCATGTATAGAGCCTCTGTCTCTGAGCCGCTGCAAAGAGTAGTGGGGCGGGGAGAGAGGGAAGCAAAGGCACTCTATGGCACTCTATGGCACTGAGGCTCTGCGGGAGCAAACAGCGAGGGCAGAGGCACCTTGTCCACGGAGGCAGGGTCCTCCATGAACAGTGTGTTGGGCTCCGTGTGACTGAGAATAGAGGGGAGGGAGGACGGGAAACACGCCCGGGGGGGGGGGGGAGTTTATCCACCTTATCATCCATGACAAGGAGTGGAGAAGGGCAGAGGCATCTTATCCTCGGAGGCAGGGTCCTCCATGAACAGTGTGTCGTGCTCCGTGTGGCTGTGGATGGGGGGGGGGGAGAGAAGAAGGGGCACAAACACTCCAGTAGAAGTGAGCGGATAAGGAGCAGAGACGTGGCAGTGGGGGGAATGGCAGAGGCACTTTGTCCACGGAGGTAGGGTCCTCCATGGACAGTGTGTCGTGCTCCGTGTGGCTGTGGAGAGAGGGGGGGAGGAGAAGAAGGGAAAAAACTCTGGAAGTGAGCCGTAGGGAAGGGCAGAGGCACCTTGTCCACACAGGTACGGTCCTCCATGAAGGGTGTGTCGTGCTCCGTGTGGCTGTGGAGAGAGGGGGAGTGGGGGGGGGGGTGGTTGGAAAGAGGGACAGGCTTCAAGTGAGCCAATAATTAGCAGAGAGAGCAGGCAGTGGGGAAGGGCAGAGGCACCTTGTCCACAGAGGAACGGTCCTCCATGAAGAGTGCTTCCCTCTCTGAGCCACTAAGTGACATTTGAGTCGACTCAAAAGTCGCTTCCCTCTCTGAGCCACTAAGTGACTTTTGAGTCGACTCAAAAGTCGCTTCCCTCTCTGAGCCACTGCAAACAGTAATGGGGCGGGGAGAGAGGGGGGCAGAGGCGCTCTAGGCCACAGAGGCAGGCAGGCAGTGGTGAGGGTGAGGGTGAGGGTGAGGGAGAGGGTGAGGGTGAGGGTGAGGGTGAGGGTGAGGGTGAGGGTGAGGGTGAGGGTGAGGGTGAGGGTGAGGGTGCGGGTGAGGGTGAGGGTGAGGGTGAGGGTGAGGGTGAGGGAGAGGGTGAGGGTGAGGGTGAGGGTGAGGGTGAGGGTGAGGGTGAGGGTGAGGGTGAGGGTGAGGGTGAGGGTGAGGGCGAGGGTGAGGGTGAGGGTGAGGGTGAGGGTGAGGGTGAGGGTGAGGGTGAGGGTGAGGGTGAGGGCGAGGGTGAGGGTGAGGGTGAGGGTGAGGGTGAGGGTGAGGGTGAGGGTGAGGGAGAGGGTGAGGGTGAGGGTGAGGGTGAGGGTGAGGGTGAGGGTGAGGGTGAGGGAGAGGGTGAGGGTGAGGGTGAGGGTGAGGATGAGGGTGAGGGTGAGGGTGAGGGTGAGGGAGAGGGAGACGGTGAGGGTGAGGGTGAGGGTGAGGGTGAGGGTGAGGGTGAGGGTGAGGGTGAGGGTGTGGGAGAGGGTGAGGGTGAGGGTGAGGGAGAGGGAGAGGGTGAGGGTGAGGGTGAGGGTGAGGGTTAGGGTGAGGGTGAGGGTGAGGGTGAGGTTCTCTATCCATGAACAGTGCTTCGCAAGAAACTTCACAGAAACAGTCCCACAACGGCTGTAAAGGTTGAGGGGGACACACAGCAAAGTGCCACGTGGATCTAGCAGCAATCTGCACGGCTTATGAGGAAGCCCACCTGATCCCCGCGTTCAGGAGAACGAGCCGCGGTATGAGGAGGGCTAGGATCCAGACAAGAGCGAGGAGCGCCTGTACTTGTACAGAAATACAAAGTCAGAAGAACATAGGCAAGGAGGTGAAACCGTGAGAAGTGAGACGACTGGGACTGGAATTCAACCTAGAACGACGAGCAAGTACATGTGGTATTACGGATATACGGGTCAGAAGAAAATAAACAATCTCGCAAGCTTCCTTAACCGAGTCTCACCACTCCCCGATGTCCCTCCGACACTCACTGTGACCCACACATCCCCAATGTCACTTCGACATTCCCAAGGGTTTCTTAACATTGAATTCCATGACACCACGTATACACTCTTGAATCAGAATTTGATTTTACCTCAACGCAGGTCACCTCAGAATCACCTAAATGTTAGTCAGACGATTTTTGAGGCGACTACGAAGGACAATTTTTGAGGCACTTAAATAAAAATAAAAATGATAATTTTCTATGCGCCTCAAAAGCGTATTTTTGAGGCGCCTTGAAAATCAGTATGTTTCTGATTCTAGATACCTCAAATACTGAGAAGCTAGTGAGTCACTCACAGCGGACAACAGCAGCAGCAGCGGCGTCGGTAGACTACCCAACCATTCCGCAATCCACGTCATTCCGGTCTGGATCCTTCACGTTTCTAAGGGGCCGCAGCGCAGTGTACGGCGCTTCGCACGGATTAGCCTGCTTTCGCACAGTTTACGCGGCTAACGCACGGCTTAGAGGGTTGCTGCTCGCGTTACGAATCAGAAGCGCCAGAGGCTGGAGTGGCACGCGGTGTCTCCTTCCACTCCCCTAGCACATCCACTTCTCAGTATTACGCAACGGCTAAAAATCGGATCGTACTGAGATCCGACGAAAAAGCACGCGTCAGATTCGAAATCCCTTCAGCAATTCAGTACTGTTATGGAAAAGTACGAACTTCCCCTTCAAATTAAGAGCGTGGATATTAAAAGTATGCTTTTGATTCCGGGTCCCACGCTACGACAATATTACGCAGGATCGTAACAAGCGACGCCGTTCCAGCGACCTACTAGATCGCTCGCGAAACAAGGAATCGCGTCCTTGGGCTGACTGACGGGCTGCTTTGCGTTGCGAGGAAGCTGCAATGCTTGGTGGTGGTGCTTGCATGCACATCTGTTGCTGCTGCAGGGAAGGAAGGAATCAATTCGAGCAGGAATCTTGGGGGCTCGTTCCTAGGTCGAGTCGTTCGACACACAATTGAACTTAGGAACAAATGTCAACCAAAACCCAGCAAAATGTTGAGCACCAGGCAGTAATGTAAGATACTTGGGTTGGGAGACGCGTGGCGGAAAACGCAGCTTTCGACTAGGGGTCGTAGCTCTGTAGATGTCGGTGATGCCAGCAGTCCCTGGGAACGGGTCTTGTAACAACAGCGATTTTTCGCAAACGAAATTTTGATACTGTAATAAGAAAGTAATTCGAGTTTGGAGTGAACTTGTTGCGTACAGCAATTTACTGCGTTTACAACCAGCTGTGGCATGTAGCAGAGCGCTCTTTTGCGCGGACAAGTGCTTTGTGGCTGAAGCAGTGCCCATAAGGCACGCATCTTCCCTGGATGACGTGGCACTCAAATCACTTTTGCAGATGATTCACCACTAATGAGTGGATGCTGCTTCACTGTCGCGTAGCATTCGCGGCGCGTCAACTTATTTCTGCGGCGGCGACTCCTAATATTGCCGCGTAGACCGTTTTCGTCCCACCGCGACTTTCTTCCCCTGAACCCCTCCGTTCAGTTCCCGCATCCCCCCGCGCAAATCATGGCTGCGCCGTCCGCCATGCTGCGACTATCCGCATCGCGCGCATTGCCGCGGATCCCGCATCGCGCATTGCGCCTCGATTCCCGTTGCGCTTCGTCGCTCAATATTCCCGCCGCACAGTATCCAGTCAGCAGCGCCGCCCCAGCTGTCGCCTCGCAAAGCGCCACGTCAGCACTGCCCGATCGCTCCACTAGAGTTTTCTCAAGCGCGCCGTGCGCGTCGAGATCAGTCGGAATCTTATCTTCCAAATCCAAGGCGTCCCGCAGCGCGTCCTCGTCTTATCGTCGATTCGCGGCTGCCGCTGCTGCCGGCGGAGATGGCGGCGTGGGATCCGCTGCGGCTGCGGCAGTCACGGAGCGAGCGTTGGCGGGAGTGAAGGAGAGCGCAACCAGGTGAGGGATGAGCGGAGCAGGTGGGGGATAGGCGGAGCAGGTGGGGAGAGGCGGAGCAGGTGGGGGACAGACGGAGCAGGTGAGGGACAGGCGGAGCAGGTGGGGGATCGGCGGAGCAGGTGGGGGGCGGAGCAGGTGGGGGAGAGAGGGCTGGGGGATGCAGTCACGAGAGCGCCTTGTACCCCCTCCCGCATTGCCTCATTCCTTGTGACCCATTATCACCCACCATCACCCATCACTACCCATGATTACCCCCCCCGCCCACCAGTCAAGCCCCAACCTGCTGGACGTGTCGTGGGAGAGAGAGTGAAGGGGCTTGTGAGAATTCTCAAAAGTAGCATCAACATGGTTGGGGAGAGCGGCCACGAGAGGTCTTTTGAGGCGCCTCGAGCATCAACGTAGCTGGGGAGTGCGGTGACAAGAGCTGCCGGCCGGCCATCCTTGCCTGCCTTGTACTCTGCCTCATCCGCCTCTCCCATGTTGATGTTACTTTTGAGAATTTTTGAGGCGCCTAAAAAGTCACCCGCCTCTCCCATGTTGATGTTACTTTTGAGAATTTTTGAGGCGCCTAAAAAGTCACCCGCCTCTCCCATGTTGATGTTACTTTTGAGAATTCTCGAGAGGGGCCTGGCCGATGCTGTCACGAGAATGTTGTGTCCCCCCTCCTTTACTGCCTCATTTTCCCCCTCCTCCACCCATTATCACCGACCATCATCCTCTCCCCCCACGCAAGGCCCAACCTGCTGGACGTGTTGAGGGAGAGGGGCCTGGCCGATGCAGTCACGAGCGTTGCCAGCCATCGCTGCCATCACCCATCATCACCCATCGTTACCCATACGTACCCCCCCGCACCTCTCCCCCCTTGAAGGCCAAACCTGCTGGACGTGTTGAGGGAGAGGGGCCTGGCCGATGCCGTCACGAGCGAGGCATTCCGGGAAGGTGAGCCCAGCCCTGTGCCACCCCCTTCGCTTTTGAGTCGACTCAAAAGCGGGAAGGTGAGGTGAGGTGAGGCCAGCCCTGTGCCACCCCCTTCTTTGTTCTAGTCACACTCCTCTCTCACTTTGCGACATGCTACGGAAACACGTGTTTGCAACACCCACCCACCCACTCTAGGAGAACACGTGTTTACCCGTCCTTCCCCTCCACCCTGGGGGGAAAAGAATAGCACTCTGACCGTGTTTGATTACACTGCTGCATTTTCATCTCGGCCATTGTCACCCCTCTTCACCCCTCGTCACCCTTCTTCACCCCTCGTCACCCCTCTTCACCCCCGTGCACCCATGATCAGCGGCAGAGCACCCTTTGAAGATCTACGTCGGCTTCGACCCCACCGCTGGTGAGCTCTCGTCATGCTTTAACCTGGGTTAATTTCATGCACGGATTACGCCTGCCTAAGCTTCCAGAAGTGACTTTTGAGTCGACTCAAAAGTCATGCACAGATTACGCCTGCCTAAGCTTCCAGAATGAGCTTTCAATGTGTTTTTAGACGTCTCAAAGCTCTCGTCATGCTTTAACCTGGGTTACTTTCATGCACGGATTACGCTTGCCTAAGTTTCCAGAATGAGCTTCCAATGTTTTCTCCCCCTTTCCACCCCTCTATAGAGTCGCTGCAGCTGGGGAATCTCCTGGGTATCATCGCCATGGCATGGGCGCAGCGGTGCGGGCACACAGCAGTGGCGCTGCTGGCTGGGGGGAGCCACAGCACGGGTGGCGTGGGGGACAGGTGTCCTCCAAAGGCGACTGATGTTTTTACACCTCCTCTTCCTCCCCTTTGCCAGAATCACTCCACCTCGGAAATCTCCTCGGCATCATCGCCCTGGCATGGGCGCAGCGGTGTGGGCACACAGCAGTGGCGCTGCTGGGGGGGGCTACAGCACGGGTGGGGGACCCCTCGGGGAAGAGTGTGGAGCGGCCAGTGATGGATGAGGAGACGATTGCGAGGAACAGCAGCGGTATCTACAAGGTTCTTCAAGACATTCTCTCTCGACCGGTGAGTTCAGGGCTGGAATGAAGCTTTGATGAGGGTGGAGGACCCTTCAGGGAAGAGTGTGGAGCGGCCAGTGATGGATGAGGAGACAATCGCGAGGAACAGCAGCGGAATTTATAAAGTCCTTCAAGACATCCTCTCACGACCGGTGAGTTTGATGAGCTGTAGAGTGCCATCCTGTCACGTCCTGGTAGCCGCCCCAGAGAGGTGACTTTTGAGTCGACTCAAAAGGTGACTTTGGAGTTGACTCAAAAGTCAGCACGACCGGTGAGTTTGATGAGCTGTAGAGTGCCATCCTGTCACGTCCTGGTAGCCGCCCTAGAGAGCCCGCAAATGGAGAACGTGGAGCGGCCGGGGTACCAAACATGCTGAGCGCGGGTGGGGGACCCTTCAGGGAAGAGTGTGGAGCGACCGTGATGGATGAGGAAACAGTTGCGAGGAACAGCAGCGGGATATACAAGGTTCTCCAAGACATCTTGTCCCGACCGGTGAGTGTGTGTGTGCTGTGCTGCAGCTGCAGCTGCAGCTATCAGCCATTGCTCTGCCTCATTCTCACGCTCCCTTCCCCGTCCCGCGATTGAGGGTCGTGGGCAAGCGCACACAGGTGGGGGCTATGATGGCCAAAGAGAGAGCTGGGAGTTTCTATCAAGGCATGATCAGCAGTTCGTTGCTAATGTAGTTTTGAGATGCCTCAAAAGTATGGCCAATTGGAGAGCTGGGAGATTATACCAAGGCATGATCAGTAGTGTGCTGCTGGTGTGTTGATTCCTCGTTAACAACTACGACTGGAGTGGTGGCGGGGCGTGTCGCTGCTGGACTGGTGGCGTGTTGCTGCTTGACTTCCCAAGGGATGCGGGCAAGCACGCTCGGGTGGGGGGGATGATGAACAAAGGGACCTCCCTCCTGTCCCACCCTTCCTCCCCTCCCCCACCCCACCCCATCCCACCCCATCCCACCCAACCCTGCCGTAGGAAAACCAAGGAAGCGTTCCGGGCGGCAAGCTCGAGCTAGTGAACAGCTACGGCTGGCGGCAGGGGCGTGTATACTCTCCTTTCATCACTAAGTTCCCACGCCTTTCCCACGCACCCATTCATCTCCTCTGTTTGTCAGGAGAACCAAGGAAGCGTTCCCGGTGGAAAGCTAGAGCTGGTGAACAACTACGAGTGGTGGAAAGGTGTTTCGCTGCTGGAGTTCCTGAGGGACGTGGGCAAGCACGCGCGGGTGGGGGCGATGATGGGCAAGGAGAGTGTGAAGAAGAGACTGGCGTCAGAGGAGGGGATCAGCTACACGGAGTTCACATACCAGCTGCTGCAGGTGAGAGGGTGTGCGGCTTTAAGGTGAGCGAGTGCGAGTGTGAGTGTGAGTGTGAGTGTGAGTGCTAGCCAAAGAAAGCCAAAGCGAGTGTGAAGAAAAGACCGGCGTCAGAGGAGGGGATCAGCTACACCGAGTTCACATACCAGCTGCTGCAGGTGCGTGGGCGAGGGAGGGGATGTACCTCCTGCGGGACGTGGGCAAGCACGCGTGGGTGGGAGCGATGATGGGCAAGGAGAGCGTTAAGAAGAGACTGGCTTCGGAGGAGAGGATCAGTTACATGGAGTTCACATACCAGCTGCTGCAGGTGAGGAATAGTGGGGGCTCCTGAGGGGGATGAGGGGCATGGGCACAGTCACGACTCAGGAGTTCCTGAGGAACGTGGGCAAGAATGCGCGGGTGGGGGCGATGATGGCGAAACAGAGTGTGAAGAAGAGAGTGGTGTCAGAGGAAGGGATCAGCTACACGGAGTTCACATACCAGCTGCTGCGGGTGAGCAGGCTGCTGCAGGTGAGCAGGCTGCTGCAGGTGAGCAGGCTGCTGCAGGTGAGCAGGCTGCTGCGGGTGAGCAGGCTGCTGCAGGTGAGCAGGCTGCTGCGGGTGAGCAGGCTGCTGCAGGTGAGCAGGCTGCTGCGGGTGAGCAGGCTGCTGCAGGTGAGCAGGCTGCTGCGGGTGAGCAGGCTGCTGCAACATCACAGCAGGCACCGACCTGCTTCTTCCCCCTCTTCTGTTTAACCCTCCTGGGTGACTTTCGGACCCGCATCCTCATCCTCCCCAGGGCTGCGACTTCGTACGCCTCTGCAAGGAGAAGGGCATTGCAGTGCATCGGTTTTTGAGTCGACTCAAAAGCAGATGGGAGGCAGCGACCAGTGGGGGAACATCACTGCCGGCACCGACATGCTCCTCTCCCCTGCTCTCCCCTGCTCTCCCCTCCCATTCCCTCCCTAGTGGTGTGGTGCCGCTTCCACCCGCCCCCCCTACCCTCCAGGGCTACGACTTTGTGCATCTGTACAAGGAGAAGGGCATTGTAGTGCAGATGGGAGGCAGCGACCAGTGTGGTGGTGGGGCAACATCACTGCTGGCACAGACCTGCTTCTTCCCCTGCCCTGTGCACCCCTCATTTGATCCTTGCTTTATCCTTGTCTCCTGGGCTACGACTTTGTGCATCTGTACAAGGAAAAGGGCATCACTGTTCAAATGGGCAGCAGTGACCAGTGGGGGAACATTACTGCCAGCACCCACCTGCTCCTCTCCCCTGCTCTCCCCTCCCTTCCCGTGTCTCTGCCAACCCACCCCGCCCCCTCCTTCCCCTCCCTCTCTCCAGGGCTACGACTTTGTGCATCTGTACAAGGAAAAGGGCATCACTGTTCAAACGGGCAGCAGTGACTAGTGGGGCAACATCCCTGCTGGCAGCACTGACCTGTTGCACATCCCTGCACAGGCATTCCCTTCCTCTATTCAACCCCCTAGCCCTGTGTGACTTACTTCCCGCACCCACTACCCCTCCCTCTCTCCAGGGCTACGACTTTGTGCATCTGTACAAGGAGAAAGGCATCACGGTGCAGATGGGGGGCAGTGGCCAGTGGGAGGACATCACTGCTGGCAGCACCGACCTCCTTCTTTTCCTCCCCTCCCGCCTGGTGTCTCTGCCACTCCCACCCCCTCCTCCCATCTCCCCACGGCTACGCCTTTGTGCATCTGTACAAGGAAAAAGGCATCACGGTGCAAATGGGAGGCAGCGACCAGTGGGGGAACATCACTGCTCCCTTTCCCATCCCATCTCTGTCCACCCCTCGTTCGATGCTTGGCTTATCCCTGCCTCCAGGGCTACGACTTTGTTCACCTCTACAAGGAGAAGGGAATAACAGTCCAAATGGGAGGCAGTGACCAGTGGGGGAACATCACTGCTGGCAGCACTGACTTGCTTCTTTCCCCTGCCTCTCTGCTCTCTTCCATCTCTTCTCCAGGGCTACGACTTTGTTCACCTCTACAAGGAAAAAGGCATCACGGTCCAAATGGGGGGTAGTGACCAGTGGGGCAACATCACTGCTGGCACCGACCTGCTGCGACGGCTGCAGGCAGCAGGCGTTGTTCCCTCCAGAGCGCCCACAGGGGGAGAGGGGCAGCACGCGGAGCAGCAGCAGGCACATGAGGAGCAAAAAGGGCAGCAGGAGGAGGGGAAACACGCGCAGGAGCAGCAGGAGCAGGGGGAGAGGGGTCCGAGTGTGTTTGGGCTCACGTGGCCCCTGCTGCTGCGCAGCGATGGGAGCAAGTTCGGCAAGTCGGAGGGCGGGGCCATCTGGCTGTCTGCTGCCATGCTCTCTCCCTACAAGTTCTACCAGGTGAGTTTGAGTAGTGGCGAGTGGTAACGAGGTGTAACAAAGGGGTGGCAGGGGGTAGCAGAGGGTTATGGGATGCCATGCTCTTATAGGGGCAAGTCAGAGGGAGAGGCCATCTGGGTGTCTGCTGCCATGCTCTCGCCCCCTACAACCTCTCCACTCCCTCCTCGTCAAGTGCCTACTCTGTTCCCCTCCTCCTGTTCCCCTGCTCCCTTCCTCCCATACTCTGCCATTCTCAAAAATACCCTGCAGCGTCAAATGCCTACTCTGTTCCCCGTGAAGTGAGACGATTTTTGAGGCGCCTCAGAACTCCTCCCCGCCCTCCCAATCCACCCAGTACCTCTTTGCCACACCTGATGCTGACGTCATCAAGTTCCTGCGAATGCTCACCTTCCTGCCCGTGGCGGAGATCGACCAATGGGAGGCCGCCATGTGTCAGCCGGGCTATGAGCCCAACGCCGCCCAGAAACTACTGGCGCAGGAGGTGAGTGCGAGGAAGACAAGGGGTGGTCGAGGGGGATTTGCAGGGCAGGGAAGGAGTAAGGGGCGTGGGCAAGGCTCTTCAACCCGCCATGTGCCATTCGAGCTACGAGCCCAACGCCGCTCAAAAGCTACTGGCACAGGAGGTGAGTGCGAGAGAGGTGGTGTGGGAGGGAAGTGTGAGACAGCAGCGGTGTGGGAGGGAAGTGTGGGAAGGAGCTTGCACAGGAGGTCAGGAGAGAGAGAGAGGCGGTGTGGGGATGGAAGAGAGAGAAGTGGAGATGGCAGGGCGAGGAGAAGTGGGCGGCAAAGGAAAGGAGAAAGGGGAAGAAGGGGGGAGGGGACAGGTGAGAAGGGGACGAGGGTGGAGGGCGAGTGGGGGGTATACTATATGCATTCTCAGTCCTGTGTTAGACAGGCCCCGTTTTTCCCCGTCCTCCTTACTGGGTGACTCGTTATGTGCATGGGGAACAGGGATACAAGAAGTATCGGGGAAAACACGAACACGCTTTTCTTACTAATATTTCTCCCTTTCTATTCTCCCATCCCCCTTTGTAGGTGACTCGTTTTGTGCATGGGCAGGAGGGCCTACAAGAAGCGCTAAGAGCCACGCAAGCCCTTGCACCAGGTACCACCTGCTCCAGATAACTCCCTCAAAGCACCAGGTACCACCTGCTCCAGATAACTCCCTCAAAGCACCAGGTACCACCTGCTCCAGATAACTCCCTCAAAGCACCAGGTACCACCTGCTCCAGATAACTCCCTCAAAGCACCAGGTACCACCTGCTCCAGATAACTCCCTCAAAGCACCAGGTACCACCTGCTCCAGATAACTCCCTCAATGCACCAGGTACCACCTGCAATGAGTCGTGTTTTGAGTCGACTCAAAGCACCAGGTACCACCTGCAATGAGTCGTGTTTTGAGTCGACTCAACGCACCAGGTACCACCTGCAATGAGTCGTGTTTTGAGTCGACTCAAAGCACCAGGTACCACCTGCAATGAGTCGTGTTTTGAGTCGACTCAACGCACCAGGTACCACCTGCAAGGAGTCGTGTTTTGAGTCGACTCAAAGCACCAGGTACCACCTGCAATGAGTCGTGTTTTGAGTCGACTCAACGCACCAGGTACCACCTGCAATGAGTCGTGTTTTGAGTCGACTCGAAGCACCAGGTACCACCTGCAATGAGTCGTGTTTTGAGTCGACTCAACGCACCAGGTACCACCTGCAATGAGTCGTGTTTTGAGTTGACTCAACGCACCAGGTACCACCTGGAATGGGTCGTGTTTTGAGTCGACTCAACGCACCAGGTACCACCTTCAATGGGTCGTGTTTTGAGTCGACTCAACGCACCAGGTACCACCTGCTCCAGATAACACCCTCGCTGCACCTTCTCCAGGTAACCCCTCCAGGTTCCACCTCCACCAGACTAGACCCAGCCACGCTCCAAGTCATCGCTGGGGCTGCTCCCTCCACCTCATTCGAAGCTATTGCCTCATGCACCTGGTTGTCATAGTGCTGCTTCTTGTGTTGTGACTCTTGAATTTCCCATGCCTCCAACCCGCTTCCTCCCTCACTCTCCCCTCCCCCTCCCCCAGGTTCCACCTCCACCAGACTAGACCCGGCCACTCTCGAAGCAATCGCTGCTGATGCACCCTCCACCTCGCTCCCATGGGCCGACGTGATTGGCCGAACCGTTGCTGACGTGGCAGCGGCATCGAAGCTAGTGGGTAGCAAGGGGGCGGCGAGGCGGCTTGTGCAGCAGGGAGGGATGTATCTGAACAATGAGAAGGTGGGGGAGGGGGAGAGGGTGGTGGGGGAGGAGGATTTGGTGGGGGGAAACATGCTGCTGCTGGGATCGGGGAAAAAGAACAAGCTGATTGTGAGAGTGGAGCGGTGAAATAGGGGGTTGCAGGGCAGCAAGGCGGCTTGTGCAGCAGGGGGGAATGTATCTGAATAACGAGGTGAGTGGTGGGGGGAGTGTGGGGGAGAGGGTGGTTGGGGAGGAGGATTTGGTGGGGGGAAGCATGCTGCTGCTGGGATCAGGGAAAAAGAACAAGCTGATTGTGAGAGTGGAGCGGTGAAATAGGGGGTTGCAGGTACAGCATTGGAGGGGTGTGTCTGAATAATGAGGGAGAGGGGGGGAGTGAGGATGGTGGGGGAAAGGATCTGATCTGATGTTTGGTGGGGGATATCGCAAGAAAATGCAATGACACTTTGAAGTAGACCCTTTGAAGAACACACGGGTTTGGTACCACTGAAACGGCGCGAGAGTGACCTGGCAAAAAATCCCATGGCTGACTCATACCATATGTTTGAGGTTGAAGCTCGTAGTGAAGTCCATGATGGAGCAACCATGGCACTCTCAGAGTGATGGACATGCACATTAGTTGTTATGTGAAGGTTAGATGTTAGGGTACATTTCGCTGAGGAGATGTCACAAACGAAAGTGTAACGTATGTGTGATTAATTGTGACCTCGTAACTCATATTTGTGACTAGTTGTGTATGGCCGAAAATCATGAATAGCAAGTATTTAACCATTCCTGGTAAGACATCTGGATAGATCGTGACTGTTCTTGGTTCAAAGCATCACAATTTGTCACGATTTTTCCATCGCTGTATCACAATTAGTCACGAACATTGTTTTCGGAGAACCACAACTAGTCACAAATAATGTTTGTGACACATTCTTCTGTGACATGTCCTGAGCGGAATGCACCCTTAGTGTGCTGCACTTCTACTGATTAATTCGATAATTATTTGGAGCGGGTTTTGGGCGAACTTGCACACGTTTCAGTGTTTTCGAACTTGAACATGCAAAAACAAAGAATATCGGCACCCTTTGTCAGGTGCACCAAGACTGTTTTTTTAGGGAACCCGAACTCCTACCGACCGTGCGACCGAATGAGGTCGCACGTACACTGTAGACGTCGCATAGCCAATCGTATCGTTTCGTCTAGGCCAATCGTATTCTTTTACCGTCGCTAGTATTTCGTGTTTTTCGCAACTGGAGTTCACCTTTTGGGGTGATGCACTTTCCTGTCAAGTTCGAGCATTTGACGGGGAATTCTGCAGTATCGTTTGCCCGCGTTTGGGGCGCTGTGGCGTTCAACTTCACATGCAAAACACGAGCATGGTGCACTTCTCGAACAGTAACACTGTTCAGTCAAGACAAAATTCAGTTGATTAAACGCCAAACGCACAGTAACCCGAACTTCATAAAAATTTCGGATTTGGATCGATCTTCTTCAACATTTTTTCGAATAAAAAAATAGAAGTGCAGCGCGCCCTTACACTAGTTGTGCGCATGGTTGTGAAAGAGGAAGATTTATTAGAAGCTTCAGAGGAGGTTGTTTGGCATCCAGAAATAACTATTTCAATCGATAATTTGCATTCCAAAGCGATATTGCGCAAGAAACCGTAAGGAAACCAAGAGAACAGCAGAGGGTGAACAGAGCTGGTATTTGTTGCCTTTGAGCCTGTGAATTTGATACACATGGTGCTCATCTGTTGCATGCAAATTTGGTTAGCCTCATTTCGACAGCCTGCCCAATTGCATATAGTACTAGCCAGTTGCACGCACGATACAAGCCCCTATTTTGATCGCAGCCGTTAAACATACAGCTTATCACGCTGGATGCGTCCGTTCGTGAGATATTTTGAAGAAACTGGTTACATTTCTTCATCTTGCCACTACAGTCCCGATTTTTCCCGTGACGTTGGCGAGCAAGCGAAACAAATTTCGCTCACTAAACACGCAAATGACAGGTAATTTTGTGGGTATATATTAAAAATTTGGTGTATTTCCAACCAATCCGCGCACGTCCCAAAATCATATGTGAAAATCTGCAGAATCACGCGGCTCGAAAGGGTGGTGCCGTGCAAGAAAAATGAACTGTATTCCGTTGACTTTAGGTACTGTACCTAGTTGACCTTGCCACACATTGCGTACTGTACTGTACGTGGGGTCTAAACGTACATTTCTTTTTTGGCCTCGGGCAGTTGTTTGTTGAGATACACCTGATGACTGTTCGATTCACCCGTGTTTGATTTGTGAAGAATGTGCTTACGAGATTCTTGCAATTCGTTATGTTTTCGTCAATTTTGACTTCGGTCCCTTCAGTTTGACTTCGGTTCCTTTATTACTATTGATTCAGAAGCACAGAAATTGCGCGAGGTGTTTGTAACGTAGGTGCAACTGGCTTGTAAAAAAGCTCGGGTGCAGGCTTTCCATTCGATAAAGGGAAAATTTGTGTGCAGGGGCTGAGCATCATATGTATATGTACACTACATCGTCTTTCTCTCGACCCTTCACCTGCCCAAACGTAGGCTACAGTGCTCGGATTTAGTTTTTTTTTTTAAGGTAACTGATATATACACCGAAATGACAAGCATACATAAGCAATAACAGTCGTAACTGTGCATGAGGGATTGCCATATGGCCATCCCAGGTGCGGCTTCTAAGGAGGTTGGTAAGCTATCCTCGGTGCTAACCAGATATTTGTGAAAGCCTTCGTCCACGTCCACGACTTGCATGCTTTGTCCCTGATCCGAAACAGTAACTTGTCCTCCTCCTCCCGTGTGCGGCGAACCTTCTCCTCTTGCATCGTACCCTGACATTTCCTCCACTGTGCCTCTCTAGACCTCACGTTTACCCTTGCATGAGTGCTCGGATTTAGCATGCTGGTGAGATAATATCACATCACGCAACCCTCATTAGTGGGTGAAATTGTCATTTACCGCTGAATACCTTTCCCCACCCCACCATTCTTACACGCAGAGTGACCATTTTATTACTGTACGCAAGTCACCTCGTTCGAACAAATGTGACATACCATGCACCATCTTGGGTGTGTACCATCCATCCCAGATGCCAGTCTAGCGAGAATAAGGGTGCCAATATGCTCCTACGATCGGCTCAATATGTCTCAACCAGACGGGGTCCGACGGTGGTCGACGGAGCGTCGACCACCGTCGACCTGACCGACGGGCAGAAAGAAACTAAAACCCCATCGGATGGCATGCCATCCGAGGGAGGCATCAAGCTACAAAAAAAAACAGACAAGCGACCCCGACCGGATGAGCTCGCTGCCCGCGGGCAAACAAAATATACCCCAGTCGGGCATGCATCCGGTCAGGGAGGCATCAACCCTAAACACAGGGAGGCATGGATTTAGGGTTTATGCCTCCCTCGGATGGCATGCCATCCGATGGGGTTTTAGTTTTTTCCTGCCCGTCGGTCAGGTCGACGGTGGTCGACGCGTCGACAACCGTCGGACCCCGTTTGGTTGAGTCATATACTGTAGATTCTCGTAAGCTGATCACAATGGACTCCCGCAGAGCAGTCCCTCCCAAGAAGCTCGTCTCGGCTGCTAACTCCTAATGGAACGTGTCAGTCCAGGATTCTCTCGAGAGCGCCGATGCCTCTTTCAGATAAAGCCATCGGATAGTGATAGTCTACTCTTGATGCATTCCCACCTACAAAGTAATAAGAAGATGAATCCCGGACGCATTTCTCGCCGCAGCGCGCGCGTTCACTCAGGGGCCGCTTGTCCTCTCTGTGCCACGATTGCTTTTCGTTCTACACTTCTAGTAATCATTTTCGTGGCCGTAGTTGGTGTCGCCGACGGTCTCGTCGACTGCCTCAACCTAACGAATCCAAGTAAGTCAATTTTGTAGCTCTTGAATTACTGGCGCCTTCACGCACGTTCATGGTTTCGTAGCTGCAAGTGCTGGAGTGGTAGTAGTGACGGGTCGCCACCGCGTCGCGATACGAGGTCGAGTCATAGGCACATCCAGGGTCTCTCCTTTATCGCGTGTTCCAACTTCGCGAAATTCCAGACTTGACGTGTGTCGACAATGTGAACACACTTGCTTCCAGCCACTTCTTACAAATATTCTTCCTCGCATTTCCCCGCGTGCTTTCTGCACATCCCGTCCCTTCTGTCTATAGCCCTAGATGTTGCCGTCAGCTGGCGGATTTATCAAAACTGGCAAAAGCTTTTAAAGTTTAATCCGCTCGGATACCGCGCAAATTTCTTCTGTTGTACCCCTCATTTGCCGACACAGGTGCCTCGTCCAACCTCCTCTCGAACCCAAGCTTCGATACAAGCTGTCTCGATATAGAATGGCGTCGCAAGAAGCTGAACGCGTCGTGCCCACCGTGGCCGTACTTATTCCCGTGGCGCGCGTTAGAACCTGGGGAAGCATTCTTAAGCGATGAGGTCTTAGCCACCGCATCTGGCGGCGGAAACAGCGGAGCACTTCTTGCTAGAACAGTATCAGGAACGATCCTCACAGCAGGAGTGGCCGCGTCGCCTGCTGACGTGTCAATATCGAACGGGGTCACGGGAGTCGCGGACACCCTACTGGCAGCTGAAGGGTCCCGTTTTCTACGGCTGACTTCCGCTTTTACCGCGTCGTCTAGTGGCGACATCGCGTCTGGTAGTAGCAGTAGCAGTAGTGCGTTTGGCGGCCCAGGCGTGGCGCAAGCGCTGTGCGAACTCAAACCCGCGGCGCCAACCAGCAACGACTCGCAGCAGGCGCAGGAGGAGCGCTCCCCGCGCCAGCTGTCCCTCTCGTTCTTTGCGCGCGCCAGCCTGTGCGCGGAGGCGGAAGGGGGAATGGAGCGGCTGTTGAAGGTGCTGCTGCTGGCAGTTCCGCTGAACTCTTCCGCTGCCGCCGCAGCAGGCGGAGCGGAGGAGCAGGTGTGGGGGGAGTGGCGGGTGGGTGTGCCGTGCGGAAAGAGCATCGCGAGTTTGTCTGGCGCCTTGCCTTGGTTCCAAGTGGGACCCCTCCTCTTCACCCTCCCTGACCCCCCAGATTCCTCCTCTTCCTCCTCTTCTTCCTCCTCCTCTTCTTCCTCCTCCTCCTCTTCTTCCTCCACATCTTCCCCTTCCTCGTTGGTAGTGCCTCCGGGGGGAGTGGCGCTGCATTTGGTAATTCGATCCATGGAAGGCAGCAGCAGCACCACCACCACCGTCACCGCCACTAGCAGCATCGCTGCCAGCAGCAGCGGCGCTAGCAGCGCCGCCACCACCGCCAGCAGCAGCAGCAGCAGCAGCAGCAGCAGCAGCAGCAGCAGCAGCAGCAGCGGCGCTGACAGCACAGAGAGCAGCGGCTTTACCATCGCCTCCCTCGGCCTCCAAACCCGGCCAGCGTCACACCCCGCCCTTTCCCGCGCTGCATCCGCCCTTGCCAGCACTAAATCCGCCCTGGGAAGGCTTCTCCGGTTCCCCAGACTTAACCTCCCTGGACTGAGGTCGTTTGGGCTACGGCAGTTCTGGAGCTTTCGGTTGAAGAGATCAGCAGGAGCAAGGGCAGCAGCAACGCCCGCAGTGTCAACAGCTGGTGGGACCTCAGCAGGCGATGCCGTACCTGCATCCCAAACTGCTACAGTGGCAGCAGAGGGTGTGGGAGAGACAGCAGGAGCATCAGCACTCGCTGTTTCTGCGGGTACGGGAGGGGCAGGAGGAGCAGGAGGGATGAATGTGGTGAACTCAAGGAGAGAGGGAGTGGCGTCGGAGGCAGGGAGCATTGCCGTTGACCTCGCGTCTGTCATGCCTGCTCGTTGTGAGTCAATGAGGCAGCAGACAAAATGGTTAGCTGAACTTGACAGAACCGCAGGTTTGTGAAGTGACGAGTCGCATCTCACCTTGCACGCCCAACTCCCCTTCCCCGTTCCCCCCCTCCCCACCACTACCCCCATTGTGAGTCGAGTTTTACTCGACTCGTTTTCGCGAGTTCTTTTTTCAAATCTGGGTCGACTCGTAACTCGACTGTATGGTCGAGGTTTTTAAAACTCGTCACGAGTCGAGCAAAACCCGACTCATAGCATCCTACCCACCACCTGTTTCAGGCATGATGGTGCCTCTGGTTTTCCCGCACGGCGAAATGCTAGATCCACGGGGATATGGCGGCGAAATGCCCGATCCCCGCGGATCGGGAGACGAAACGTCTAATTCGCGCGGATATGGCGTCAAAATCCCATCTCCGCGCGGATCTGATGGCGAAATCCCATCTCCGCGCGGCTCTGGCGGCGAAATCCCATTTCCGCGCGGATCTGGTAGCGAAATCCCCGTTCCGCGCAGATATGGCGGCGAACTGTCTAATCCGCGCGGACCCTGCGTTGGAATGACGTAACGAATTAGATCTACTTGTCGAGTAATAAAAACTCAAGAACAGCGAGTTATTCTCGATTATTCTTGAAAACCGCGAGCTTTACTCAGACTCAACTCGGCCGAATTCTTTTCAGAAAGGCACAAACACGTAGCCAGCAAATACGAGTTGAAGAGTAAAACGACCCTCCTCCTTCAAGCCCTTCTTCCCCCAACCCCTCTCCAGCTCCCACCCGCTCCTTCGGTCTGACTGAGACGAATGTTTGCGTGTTTGACATGAGTGCCGAAACGAACTGCCAATCACTCGGGTGCGGTTCGGTTCAGACCGAATTGAGCCAGGGGAGGATTTGTAACACCTCGCTACCCCCTAGGTCAAAACGAGGGTGTTATTTGGCGCAGCGGAATGCCCATTAACACTAGCCCACAGGCGTTACACTCGTCCCCCCCTGGTGTCAACGTCCCCGTTGACAGAACTTCAGGGAGTCGGCCCCCGCAGGGACCTGTTCGCTGTGCTCCAAACAGCGACTTCGCTGGTGGACCAGGCCAGCGGAGGATCGTTCGCTGGGTTCGAGCTGGTTACAGCCGCACTTCAGTTCTCGCCTAAGGAGGCGGAAAGTGTGGTCCAGCCGGGATTCGAACCCTAGGCTCTGATTCCAATTGTAACACCTCGCTACCCACTAGGTCAAAACGAGGGTGTTATTTAGCGCAGCAGAATGCCCATTAACACTAGCCCACAGGCGTTACAGGATTTCTTCCCGCCAGGTGGAAACAGACCTAACCGATTGGTGCCGAACTTGTTAGGTGGTTCGACGAGGCCAAGAAGGCCTAAATTGGTTCAACCTCCCTAACTTCGGTTGAGTTTGACTCTGACACCCAAAATCTTGGCCAATTGGATTGCTCGCCCCAACCAACCCTCCTAAGGTTGAACTTCTTGGCCCGCGGGTTTTAAAATTAACGAAGCATGTCGAATCATGTCGAACCGCCGCGGGATGAGAGTTATCCCCAGTAATGTCCAGTGAGTTGGAGCTCATTTCAACCTCCAGCTTCATTCCTACACTATCTCCTAGTACTACCCAAAATGGCAACCTTTCTACGTGTAATTCACCAGTTTCTACTAGTAGACTTTCCAGCTACATATCTACAGCATGAAATGCTCTTACAGTATTGTAATGGATGAATATAAACATTGGTGTCGCTCGGCCATTCATTTATCATTTCTCAACCAAGTAGACACATCTCATCTCATGTCATACCCCCCTCTCTTCCCAAACCCCACCCCGCTCCCCCCTTGCATACCTTAACAGTGTCAAGAACAGATACTGTTTGGAGTTGTGACTTTATGAAAGTTAAACTATCAAACCAAACCGAGGTCGGTTTGTTTATTCAAAAGCGAACCTTGAAGCGGCCGATTGTAGATATAATTCAAAAAAAAGAAAAAGGAACGAGGTACTAAACGTACCGCTACTTTGTCCGTGCCTATTCGACGTTCCTAAGAATCACTCCCCATTCCGTTTCCCCTCCCCTTCTCCCCTCACTCCCCATCCCACTGCCCTGCAGCCGACCCCTCCCCTCTCAAGTCCTTCTCCCACTGGCCGCTCTCCAGTTCCCACCCGCTTCTCGCAGCCGGCTCAACCCGTCGCAATCGCTCCTCCCTCTCCCTCACCACGCTCTCCGACCTCAACGCTGCCGCCCTCGCGCTGCACCCCGCCCCCTTCGCCCTGCTCGACCCCGCCACGCCCTCCTCCCCCTGCCGCCCCTTCTCCTTCTCCACCTCCTTTACCTTCCGCATCTCCTCCCCCAACGCCGCCGGGCTGGGCGGCGAGGGCTTGGCGTTTGTGATGCTGCCGACGCCTACGCTCGGCCTGCCGGGGCCCTCCCTGGGCTACGGCCGCCTGCTGCTGCCCCCGGGGAGCACAACTGGCACTGATGACTCACAGGTATGCTCAGCTCATGATTCTCATTTGAACCAGCAGTGCTGCATCACTGCAGGTATCACATACCTGCATAAGCCCTGAACAAGCAGTGATTCCAGCGTCAGCAGTGCAGAGTGTCATCTCAGATATGTGTCGTCTCAGGTATGTGTCATCTCAGGTACGTGTCATCTCAGGCCGAGTTCCTTTGCATTCCACATCCCCACACCCAATGGAGCGTGGCAGGTCTTGGCAGCAATGGGATGGCGTTTGTTGTGGTGATGCTTTTCGTCTTTCCGCTTCATCTTCCCTGACTACTCTCTGCTGGTCTTACTCTTCCTGTCTTGCTCTCCTGCTCTCATTCTCTCATTCTCTGCTGCTCTTTTCTGCCCACCCTCCTGCTCCCCTTCCTGCTCCCCCCCCTACACAGCCACAGCAGCACAGGAGCCTGGCGGTTGAATTCGACACATCGGCCTCCCCCGAGTTTTGGGACCGCCCCGACCACCACGTGGGGGTGAACCTGCACGGCAGCATGCTCTCTCTCGCCTCTGCCCCCGTGCACCCCCTCGGCATTCCGTCCCTCAACGCCGGTCAAACCCTCCTCGCCACCATCCACTACAACGCCTCCTCCTCCCACCTCACCGTCTGGCTCTCCCCCGCCCCCTCCTCCTCCCGTTCCCCATCCCCCTCTCGCTCCTTCCCTCGTTTTCCGGGTTTCCCTGGCTTCCCTCGGTCGTCTCGCCCCTCCTCCTCCTCCCCCTCCGCCTCCACCTCCCCACCTCTCCCGCGCTCGGCCGTGCTGAGCACATTCCTGGACACCTGCGAGTGGCTGGGGGGGAACGACCCGGAGGCGGCAGCGCCCCCCCCGCCGCTGTTTGTGGGATTCACAGCGGCCACGGGCAAGGGGGCGGAGCAGGCTCAGGCACATGAGGTGCTGGGGTGGACGTTCCAAGTGGGGGAGGGTGAGTTCCAAGTCGGGGAGGGTGGGTGAGTTCCAAGTCGGCGAGGGTGAGTTGTTTGAGTGGCATTAACAGGTGCTGGGGTGGAGGTTTGAAGTGGGGGAGGGTAAGTGCGTGAAGTCAGTGTTTTTTTTTTTTTTTTTTTTTTTTTTTTTTTTTTGTGTGTGTGTGTGTGTGTGGGTTGATTTGGTTCTATGTTGAGAAAACTGTTTATGCTGTACCCACCGCAGCTTTTCTTGTTCATCCTCGCGGTCAGCTCGTCCCCACAGTCAAATCGTCTATGTGGGTTTCCTTCGCCATCACATGTCCTCCAGATTTGCTATGAAGAGGAGGAGTGGAGGAGCAGGGAACCTACCTAGCCCCACGGTCCACCCTACACCCCAGCAGCGAAGGATCCGCTTACGTTTCATCCAACCCTCCTTCCCCCCGTCCCCTCTCCTCCCCTCCTCTCCCCCCCTTCGTTCACCCCAGCAGCGGAGGATCCGCTTCCGTTTTGGGCGGCAGACTCATTCTCCTTCCCCTACATCACGCCAGCCACTCCCCTGCTGACACGTGGCAGCACACGGAAGCGTTTCTTCGCTGCCGATCTCTCCGTTGATGCTGATGTGGCATCCATGGGCCAATCAAACAATCCCGCCCCTGGAGCCATCTTCTTCCCCCGCCGTCTCCCCCTCCTCTACTCCTCCTCCTCCCCTCCCTTCCCTCCTCCTCCTTTTCCTCGTCCTCGCACCAGCTCCCCCCGTTCCTCTCCTTCCTCCTCACCCTCCCAACCCATAGCCACCGAGCCTCCTATTTGCAAGGCTCGCTCCTTCACCTTCACATACGGCTTTTCCATGAATACATCCGCCTCCCAAGGGCTCGCGTTTGTTATAAGCACACATGCGACCATAGGTCAAGGCGGGGCTTATATGGGGTATGGCCGGGACCCATCCTCGCGACTCGTTAACGGCAGCTGGCCGGACGGCGCTCGGAGTGTAGCTGTGGAGTGGGACACTGTAGTAAACCCTGAAACAGGCGATTTAAATGATATTCACATCGGCGTTAACAGCGATTTCAACATGACGTCGATGTTCGCGAAGGTGGTGTTTTATCCGATGAAGCCCCGCGAGGTGTGGCAGATGAGGGTCGACTATAACGGGAGTAGCAAGGAGATGCTGATTCGGTGGTACAAGCCGCCAGTGTTGAAAGGCAGCACGAGGCTCAGCTTTGACCTGTGTGCTGCTCTGACTGATGTGACCGAGACCAGTGGCAGCAGCAGCAGTGGCGGCAGCAGCAGCGGGGGCAGCAGTGGCAGCGGCAGCGGCAGCAGCAGCAGCAGCAGTGGTGGCAGCGGCAGCAGCGGCAGTGGCGGCAGCAGCAGTGGTGGCAGCGGTGACAGCAGCGGCAGCAGCGGCAGTGCAACGGACCTGTCGTCGCCATCCTTTGGGCAGCTGGTCGTTGGGTTCACCAGCGCTGCTCTCCCTCCCCCCTCTGGCCGCATGCCCTCCCCCGTCGCCCTCTCCTCCTGGACCTTCCGATTCACAGGTAAAATGAGGGAAGGGGGGTGGGGAGGGGGAAGAGTGGGAGGGGGGAGGCAAAGCAAGCCACGAGCCCTGACCACGAGAGAGGGGGGAAGGGTGAGATGAGGAGTGAGAGAGACAGGCAGAGGGTGTAGCAGATCTGAACCTTTTTATTTGATGGGTAAGAAGGGGAAGCGAGGAGGGGAGAGAGGGGAGTGGGTGGTGAGTGAAAAGGCGAGAGGGAAAAGGTTTGTAAAGAGGAACTGCGTTTTCTAAACATTTTTGTAATATTCTTGCACTTCCACTTCCATCCAGTCTCATCCCACGTCATCTCCTTACATTCCTTCCCATCCCCACACGTCCCTTTCCCTCCCCTCACATCCTTTTGCATCCCTCCCAAACCCTTCTAAGGCACGTCTTCAAGAGGGTTTCTCCTTGACACGCCTCTCACATAGTTGCGGGGAGTCTCTGAGAATTCTTAAAGACACCCTGCAGCAGCATAGAGGGTTCCTCCTTGACACACCTCTCACTTTGTCCCCCCTCGCTTTCCCCACACACTCACCCTCATCCCTCGTTTCCCCACACACTCACCCTCATCCCTCGTTTCCCCACACACTCACCCTCATCCCTCGTTTCCCCACACACTCACCCTCATCCCTCGTTTCCCCACACACTCACCCTCATCCATCGTTTCCCCACACACTCACCCTCATCCCTCGTTTCCCCACACACTCACCCTCATCCCTCGTTTCCCCACACACTCACCCTCATCCCTCGTTTCCCCACACACTCACCCTCATCCCTCGTTTCCCCACACACTCACCCTCATCCCTCGTTTCCCCACACACTCACCCTCATCCCTCGTTTCCCCACACACTCACCCTCATCCCTCGTTTCCCCACACACTCACCCTCATCCCTCGTTTCTCCTCACGCTCGCCCTCATCTCTTGCTTCCCCACACTCAACCGCACCCCCGTGTTTCCCCGCCCTCCTGCCCTCATCCCTCTTGACAGACTCTGACTTCCTCCTCCTCCTCCTCCTCCTCCTCCTCCTCCTCCTCCTCCTCCTCCTCCTCCTCCTCCTCCTCCTCCTCCTCCTCCTCCTCCTCCTCCTCCTCCTCCTCCTCCTCCTCCTCCTCCTCCTCCTCCCTGCCCCGTGTTTCCCCACACACTCGCCCTCATCCCTCGTTTCCCCTTGACAGACTCTGACTTCTGCAACCACTCTCCCGTGCTCCCCTGTGGCATGGGCACATGTTCTACTCCATGACGTTTGAGTCGACTCAAAAGCTTTCCCGCACACCCATCCCCACTCACCTGGGCAGACACGGACTACTGCAACCACTCTCCCGTGCTCCCCTGCGGCATGGGCACATGCTCTAAGGCGCGCTCCCCGTGGGACCCCTCTGTCCTGCTTCCCTCATGCAAGTGCGCCTTGAAGTTCCCCTCCTTCGAACCCACCCACCTGGCTGGCCTGCCCTCCTGCTTCCCTGGTGAGACATGGAGTGCAGTAGGCGAGGTGTATGGAGTGCGGTAGGCAATTGATGGAGTGCGGTAGGTGCCGTGCTTGTTTGGGCGTGTGCACGAAGTCCCCTTCCCTGTGGGACCCCTCTGTCCTGCCTACTCCGCTCCTACATCCCCCACTGCTGAGGTGGACCAAATCCCCCACTGCTGAGGTGGACCAAATCCCCCACTGCTGAGGTGGATCCAATCCCCCTCTGCTGAGTAGGATCAAATCATGAGACTTACTTTTGCTCTTCCCTTTCCACTTTATCTCCCCAACCCCCTCCCTCTCCTTCGTTCTCTTCCACCTCTCCTTTGTTCTCTTCCACCTCCCCTTCGTTCTCTTCCACCTCGGCCTCCCTTATGCTTTTCCCTCCCTTTCCTCCCCCATCCGCTTTGAGACGTCTCAAAACAACACTTTTATCATGTGGCTGTATCTCCCCAACCCCTCCCTCTCCTTTGTTCTCTTCCACCTCGGCCTCCCTTATGCTTTTCCCTCCCCCTCCTCCCCCGTCTGCTCTTTTCTACTCTTCCTTCTCTCCCTCCCCTTCTCCCCCCTCTCCCCTCACCAGAGGCCTACACGTGTCGCCAGCTCTCCAGCAACCCCTGCGCCCCAGGAGTGTGTATCGATGGCTTAGATGGCAGCTACTCCTGCCTCTGCCCTTCGCCCTACTTCTTCTTCACATTTTCTCCCAAGGGCACTGCCAGTTGCTCCCTGGGTAAGTCACATACCTTGTTGCTCCAGTTGCTCCCTGGGTAAGTCACATACCTTGTCTTGTTTCCTTGTTTACAATGCGGTAAGTTGCGAGGCGCCTCAAAACTCACTTCCTTGTTTACAGCCTCAGCTACTTAACTGAGGGGAGGGAGGGAGGAGGAGGGGGAAAGAGTACCTAAGTGCATGTCAGTCACTCACCTCACCGCTGCAGACATGCACAGCACATGACACAGGCACACTCTCTGCTCTCTTTTTGACGTCTCAAAAGACCTCACCGCTGCAGACATGCACAGCACATGACACAGGCACACTCTCTGCTCTCTTTTTGACGTCTCAAAAGACCTCACCGCTGCAGACATGCACAGCACATGACACAGGCACACTCTCTGCTCTCTTTTTGACGTCTCAAAAGACCTCACCGCTGCAGACATGCACAGCACATGACACAGGCACACTCTCTGCTCTCTGCTTCCAATGCCATCGCCCTCGCGATCCTCCACTCCCTCAAGGTTGGTTCGTGTGCGTCTGTCTTTAAGGCGTCTCAAGTTCTGAGGTGTCTCGAGTGTTGAGGTGTCTCGAGTGTTGAGGCGTCTCAAAACCTCGCGCTCTTTCACTCCCTGAAGGTTCGTTCTTGTGCGTCTGCCTGCCTCTTTCTCTTTATGCATCTCTGCTCGTACCTTCTACTAATACCTCTCACCAACGTCTGTAACCCTGTATTCTCTTTGAATGTTCTCCCCCCCTCCACCCCCCCCCCTCCCTTCTCTCCCCACTATGTCTACAGTCCAAGCGGATGGCATGCGAATGCCAACCTTCCTGTCCCAGTTTGGTCTCACATGCCCCCTCATTCTCAATACTTTTGGATTGACACAGACCCAGTTTTTCAGCGAGAACAAGGTAAAGAAGGCCATCAAAGCACATTACATATTGCATCACAGCACATCACATATTGGATCAAAACACGTGCCTGCTCATTCTCTTCACATTCGGATTGACACAGACCAGTATTTCAGCAAAAACAAGGTGAGGAAGGCTATATCACATTGCATATCTCATGTCGAGGTGACTTTTAAGTCGATTCAAAATTCACCTTGGGTCAACCCAAAATTCACCTTGGGTCGGCTCAAAAGTCACCTTTGTTGATCTTACCCCTCAATCTCACATTTTGTACTTGCACTTTTAATATCCTAGTATAGTGTAGTTTGCACTATGTGTTTGGTTGGGTGTACACCCACATCCCAACCAAACCCAAATGTGATCTCGAAGCAATCTCCAACCCACCAACTGGAGATTGCCTTGGGATTACCCCCAATCCCTAGAGATTGTCTCCGATTCCCGTCCCCATTCCTTGCTCATCCTGGATGTACTTAAAGAGTTTCAAGCTCATTACTAATGTATCCATTCTAAGCTCTAGCTCTCACAACCTTGGGTCGACTCAAGAGTCACATTGGGTCGACTCAAAAGTCACATTGGGTCGACTCAAAGTCATCTTGGGTCGACTCAAAAGTCACCTCGAAAACAAGGTGAGCAAGGCTTTCTCACATTGCATCGCATCATAACACACCACGTCATGCCACAACCTTTTAGGTGCCTCAAAACTTGCCGTGCCACGCCCCATCGCAGACATTGGCCAGCTCGGCGCCACTTTTGGTTTGATTCAAGCCAATGGCTTGAGTGAGAAGGATATGCTGGGCTACCGAGCCAATGGCTTGAGTGAGAAGGATCTGCTGGGCTACCGAGCCAATGGCTTGAGTGAGAAGGATCTGCTGGGCGGATTTCCTGCCAGCGCAGATTCGGTTTGCTGAACAAGCCTTGGATAGCTCGTGGCAAGCAAGGCTTGGATAGCTCGTGGCAAGCAAGGCTTGGATAGCTCAAGGCGACGTTACTCTGAGCTATCCTCGAGCTATCCAAGCCTTCCTTCTCATTCCCCATCACTGTCCCCTCGTCCTTACCACCTCGTTGTATGCTAGTTTATCCCAATCTCTCCTTTGTTCAATCTCTCCCAATCCCCATCTTTCCCAGCCCACTCGCATGGGCTTCATGAGTCGAACCCCTCCCATTCTGCCTTGGCTGACTTTCTCCCCCACTCTCGCTCGACTGCCCATGCTCTAATACCATGCTCTGATGCCATGCTCTGATACCATCCTTTGATACTATTCTCTGATACCTTGCTCTGATACCTTGCTCTGATACCATGCTCTGATACCTTCTGATACCATGTTCTGATACCATGTTCTGATACCATGCTCTGATACCATGCTCTGATACCATGCTCTGATACCATGCTCTGATGCCATGCTCTGATACCATGCTCTGATACCATGCTCTGATACCATGCTCTGATACCATGCTCTGATACCAGGGCTTCCAGTGTCGAGCTCCCATTCCTGCTGGCACCCTGGTCAACGTCACCAGCCGTGCTTTCTCCAAATGTACAGCAATGTACACTGTTAATCATGTAAGTGGCATTGCAATCACAGAAATGTACAGCAATGTACACTGTTAACTAAGTAAGTGGCATTGCTTAATGTAAGTGGCAGTTCTGAACAATCTACTTGCCTCGGTCAAGTAACGAATACGAGTCGAGATCTGATATTATTCGACTCGTTTTCTCATGCCTAGTGTATACCTGTCTACTGCATGTGCCACCACTCACTCTCCACTCATGGGTTAATCCATTTACGGGAGAATCCACACACAAATGACTCAATCTCACCCAGCTCAATCTCCACTCCCCCCGCCAATCCCCTCTTCTCCACTCGCTATTGGCCAAACCTTCACCTCACCTCTCCTCACCCCACCTCGCCTCACCTGACCTCACCGCTCCCCCAATGTACATGTGACACCAGAGCGACACAATTGACCACTCTATCTGAGTGGCGACATCAGCGCCATTTTGTGTTGCGACCCCTCTTCGCCACTCAGATAGAGTTTTGAGATGTCTCAAATGCCCTCTTCCCCCGTGCATGTGACTCAATCAGCGCGCTCTTTGCCACGCAGATGGAGCCGTACAACCCAATTCTCCCAATACCCTCGCTCTCACTTCCACTTCTCCCTGTATCTGACACGTGTGCCTGCAGGGCGACACCTGTGACTCCATCAACGCGCTCTTCGACACGCAGATAGAGCCGCTCAACCCCGCGCTCAGCTGCTCCGATGGGCCACGGCACGGGCAGGTGAGATCAGCGGGTTGAATTGAAGGGAGTTAAGAGGCGCCTCAAAAGGCGACTGTTGAGGCGCCTCTCAAGGCGCTCAGCTGCTCCGATGGGCCGAGGCACGGGCAGGTGAGATCACTTTTGAGTAGGTGAGATCAGCGAATTGAACGAAGTTCAGAGGCGCCTCAAAAGGCGACTCTTGAGGCGACTCTCAAGGCGCTCAGCTGCTCGGATGGGCCACTGCATGGGTAGGTGAGGTCAGCGAGGAACGATAAACGCCAAATGATTGAAAATAACGCAAACGCCTGGCCGATTAATTTTGGGGGCAGCTGGTGCAAAGAAGAACAAAAACGCGAATGTGATTCTGCGCAGCTCCTCGAACTCGGATTGAGAATATTGCACAAGTCATGCTGTTAGCTGTTTGTTTCCGAAATAACCTCCGTGAGGCAAACAACCCCAATATACCCCAATATACCCCAATGTACCCCAGTATACTCCAATATACCCCAATGCACCCCAGTATACCCCAATATACCCCAATGTACCCCAGTACACCCCAATATACCCCAATGTACCCCAGTATACCCCAATATGCCCCACTGTACCCCAGTATACCCCGATGTGGATGGTAATGACCCTCCGATGTGGAAGCACGATGAGAGTGGAATCCTCATCTATATTTCAACCCGTCATCAATCCTCTCTCCCCTGCCTCGATTCTCTCCCCCTGTATTGTTGCTCCTCCCCCTTTATTGCTGCCCTTCCCCCTGCCTCGCTTCTCTCCCCTTTTATTGTTGCTCCTCCCCCTTTATTGCTGATCCTCCCCCATTATTGCTGCCCATCCCCTTACCTGCCGCTCCTTCCCCTTAACTGCTGCTTTCCCCCCTTCCCTCCCCTCCCCGCAGCTTCTATGTGTGGCGTTTGACCAACAGTGGTACGACGCCGGAAAGATAAGCACAAAGTGCACGCACTTCGCTCACATCTCGCCAGCACCACTCTCCAGCAGCCTGCAGCAGACAGCCCCATTCACCGTAGAGGACGCACTCATAAGCGAGCTTGAGAGCCCACAGACCTGCCAGGGGCTGTGGCAGGCCTTCAGCCTCGCCTCTCCCGCACGCTTCTTCCAGCTCAACCCCGGCCTTCCGTGCGACTCGCTGCTGCCCGACAGCCCGCTTCAGGGCAACACTGTGACTCGGGTGGGTGGGAAAGCTGTTACCAAGTGTATGGGACCAGGTGTATGGGACCAGGTGTATGGGACCAGGTGTATGGGACCAGGTGTATGGGACCAGGTGTATGGGACCAGGTGCATGGGACCAGGTGTATGGGGTCAGGTGTATGGGACCAGGTGTATGGGACCAGGTGTATGGGACCAGGTGTATGGGACCAGGTGTATGGGGCCAGGTGTATGGGACCAGGTGTATGGGACCAGGTGTATGGGACCAGGTGTATGGGGCCAGGTGTATGGGACCAGGTGTATGGGGCCAGGTGTATGGAACCAGGTGCATGGGGCCAGGTGTATGGGACCAGGTGTATGGGTCCAGGTGTATGGGACCAGGTGTATGGGACCAGGTGCATGGGACCAGGTGTATGGGACCAGGTGTATGCGACCAGGTGTATGGGACCAGGTGTATGGGACCAGGTGCATGGGACCAGGTGTATGGGACCAGGTGTATGGGACCAGATGTATGGGACCAGGTGCATGGGACCAGGTGTATGGGACCAGGTGCATGGGACCAGGTGTATGGGACCAGGTGTGTCCGAGGCTTCCTGGAAGAATCTTTGCTGCAGTGCAGTGTGAATGTTGAGGGTGTGAGTGAGTGAGAGGGAAGTGTGAGGCGGTGTGTGTGCAGCGACGCGCGGGTGGTTGTACGAGTGTAGGGGATTGAAGAATGTAAGGGATTTACGAGTGCAAGGGATTTACGAGCTTCACAGAAACCGGATAGGATTTAAGGGTGTAAGGGATATACAAGTGCACGGGCTGTACAGGGCCAGGGTAATGATGTGAGTGTGGGGGATGTGCATAATTTACTAGCAATGATTCAAGAGGCCAGGGTAAGTGGTAGAGCTAGGGAGTTGAGGGTGTGAGTGGTGAGTAACAAGGAAGGTGAGTAGGCTGTTGCTGGCAGCAATGTGAGATTTTGTCGGGAGTGAGCTTTTTAACTTCGACACTTTTTAGGTTGTCTCATGCAATTCTTGTTTTCACGGAAACACAATTGGCAGGTCTGTGTGGCTGGTGTTGACGCTCGTCCTGTCTCGGGCCTGTCCTGTTCAACCAAGAGAACATACAGTGTGAGGCGCGGCGACACGTGCGGCCTGCTGATCGCTAAGAGATACAGCCGCAGCATTGACATGTTTAGGAGCCTTAATCACGGTTATGATTGTGCAGTGAGTAGGTTGTGGATTGGCATGTTGCTCTGTTTGCCTGCGGTTATCTTATAGTAGCCTTTACCCATGAGGGCTCCTCTTTTCAAATCAAGCTCTATCAGACCATGAACAACCTTTTTTTCATAGCTACCACAGTTTGCCTCCAAATGGCAATGCAGAAGAGAATGTAGATCGATTGCCCTAGTCCATTATGCGAAGTATTCCCCTTCAAGGGTTTTTTTGCCAAGACATGAAGGATCAATGAACTGGCTTGTCACTTTCTTGCGCTCGCGGCATTGTGCTTACCATAATCACTAGCATATTAGACCATAGGGTCTTACGAAAACCACACGAAAATGTTGTGGAGAGTCTTATCAAATATTACTAATTTTGTAAGACTCGGGTGACCAGGTCTTATGATAATGATACAGTTTTTGAAGTTGTATTTGAATGTAATGATCATTAGGACTCCTTTTTGCAATGCGTAATGTCAAACTAGATATATGTTATGATAGAATATGTAGGCTTTGTTGGGCTGAAAAGGCCCTTAGGATCTTTGCACGACTTGATTCAACGTAGGATGATGTAATAGCGGAAGCGTCTTTAATAAGAACTTTGTGAACCACCTTGCGCTAGTATGTGAGGGCAAAGTAGATTGATTAAAACAAGCAAATACAAGGATTTATATACCGTGATCTCCCGGACAAAACACCCCCCCATGATAGTACACCCCCGGGTAGCTTGTGCGGGGTGGGTGCTATGGGCGACCTCGTTTCTACTATACCCCCCTTTTTGGATGATTTTCTATAACACCCCCCTTTTCTTACGGATTCCTATTATAGCTGTTATCGAGTCTGATTCCTTACAGGAGAATATCGCGAGAATTGCTTCCTAGATGAAATTTCGCGTGTACTTGCACTTAGAATCCGCCTACATTTCCCCCTCCCACAATCTCACTGTCGCCACCCTGGCGAATCTTTCGCTGCAAGTGGACAGTTCCTCCATCCCACATTTTAGGAAGTTGCCACGCTGGCAAATCTTCCGCTGCAAGTGGCCCGAAAGGTGAAACTCACATTCTCGCCAGAACTCACATTCTCGCCTCAAACTGTGATGTTTAATGACCATTGAAACACCCAAACTGTCTAATTAAAACCGAGATGCAAAATAGTGAACCCAAACCCAACTTGAAAGGGCGCAGGGACGAGTTTGCCGGGCGAAACAAAGTTTAGACGGACTGAGAAGTTTGTACCGTTTCAAACGCTGCGGACGTGCAAATCGAACACCTTTGATTGGTTCCCGCCAAAATTGAGACATTTTCCTGATGTGTGGCGTCGCACTTCTCATTGCTAAGCCCGCACGACAATTGCACAGGCGATCGTTTCAGTCTGTCCAAGCGATTTGGGCCCAACTGATGTTTCAAGTTGGGATGGGGTGAACTACTACCAATTTTGCGTCGGAAGTTCTAAGTAGCTAGGCTAAGCATAGGCTATGTCTCAACTTAGGCCCTCGTTATCTACACATGTATTAATCAGAATGTCCGTCGTGTTGTATCCGAAAGCTATGAGTGTAAGCTTTTCAGTCTGTCCCTTTGTGCCCGCGTTTTTCCGTCCCGTCGCCCACGCGATCTCCTCTCACCTCCCTTACCCACGCGATTGTCACCGCCCTTCGGTGGCTCGTCCTGTCAGAGTATTATAGCTGATGCATGTTTGTAGGCTATAGTGGGGTAGCACATATGGGGTACAGCTTTCTAGGGTTGTATTTGTACCCAACTCTGACTTAGTCATCATTCATTCCTGTTCACTTGTTTCACATGGTATAGAGCGGGTCCTTCCTTAGGACCGTTTTTTTTAGGGCCCACCGAAGCGCGCCCCGAGGCGCGCCCTTTTTTTTTAGCGACCCCTCGGGTCGCCATTTCCCTCGCGGCCCCGATGTCCCTCAGACGCGGCCCCGCCACCCCTCCTGATCGCGGCCCCGCCGCCTGCTTGGCGCGGCCCCGCCGCCGGCTCTGACGCGGCCCTGCCGCCCGCTTCGTCGCGGCCCCGCCGCCTGCTTGACGCGGCCCCGCCGCCTCCACTGACGCGGCCCCGCCGCCGGCTCTGACGCGGCCCTGCCGCCCGCTTCGTCGCGGCCCCGCCGCCTGCTTGACGCGGCCCCGCCGCCTCCACTGACGCGGCCCCACCGCCGGCTCCGCCGCTGCACCCTACGGCCCGCCGCTGCACCCTACGGCCCGCCGCCTCACCTGACGGCCCCGCCGCTGCACCTGCCGGCCCGCCGCTGCACCCAGCGGCCCGCCGCTTCACCTGACGGCCCCGCCGCTGCACCTGCCGGCCCGCCGCTGCACCCTACGGCCCGCCGCTGCACCCTACGGCCCGCCGCTGCACCCTACGGCCCGCCGCCCCACCTGGTCGGCCCGCCGCTGCACCCTACGGCCCCGCCGCTGCACCTGCCGGCCCGCCGCTGCACCGGTCGACCCGCCGCTGCACCTGACGGCCCCGCCCCTGCATCTCCCGGCCGAGCCGCCCCAGCAGCAGAGCCGCCCCAGCAGCCGAACCGCCCGGGAGCCGAGCCGCCCAACGCCGAGCCGCCCGGGACCCGAGCCGCCCTGCCGCCGAGCCGCCCGGGAGCCGAGCCGCCCTGCACCCGAGCCACCCTGCCGCCGAGCCGCCCGGGAGCCGAGCCGCCCTGCGCCCGAGCCGCCCAGCCGCCGAGCCGCCCGGGAGCCGAGCCGCTGTGCACCCGAGCCGCCCGGTCGCTGAGCCGCCTTTCTGCAGAGCTGCACGACCTGCCCTGCCTGGTGAGCACAGTCCCACTGACACTGCGAGCTCTTTCCCTACTGCTTGCACTACGTCGCTGTCGTCGCCATGGCTACCCCTAGTGTCCTAGCTTTTGACGCTGAGGGTCGCGCCATTGATTTTGAGGTCTGGTTAGACGACCTGCAGCTGTTCTTACAGTGCGACAGGGCTGACGACCTTTCTCTCTTTGACCTCACCTCTGGCGCCTCTCCTGCTCCTGCTGCTGATGCTGATCCCACTGTCCGCTCTCAGTGGGCAACCCGCGATGCTGCTGCACGTCTTGCTGTGCGTCGCCACCTCCCTACCTCTGAGCGTGCGCACTTTAGTCAGTACAAGAGTGCTCAGACCTTGTACGACGCTGTAGTTGCGCGCTACTCCTCCCCTGCCACTGCTGCACTGAGCCGTCTCATGCTTCCCTACCTCTTTCCTGACCTCTCTGCCTTTCCCACTGTTGCTGACCTCATTACGCACCTCCGCACTAGTGACACTCGCTACCGCGCCGCCCTTCCTGCTGAGTTCTGCGCTAAGAACCCACCCCCCATGTACATCGCTCTCTACTACGTAGTCGCGCGCCTCCCTGACTCCCTTTGCGTCGTCAGGGACCACTTTCTCGCAGTCTGTCCCACCACCCTCACCGTCGACCTCCTCGAGAAGGCCCTCCTCGCAGCGGAGAAGAGCATAGTCGCTGTAGGTGCTTCTCGTGGTGACCCTCGCACCCCCATCTTTGAGGGGTGCTCTCCTTCCCCCTTGCTGCCCTCTGTTGCCTCTGCTGCTGCTGCCGACCTGCTTGGTCTTGAGTCGGTCGGCGCGGCGTCTACCCCTAGTGGGAGACGTCGCTCCAGCAAGGGCAATGGGGGCAAGGGCGCGGGTGGAGCTGGAGGGGGCGGTGGCGGTGGCGGCGGTGGCGGCAGAGGGAGTGGGGGTGGCGGCGGGACTAGTGGCGGGGGTGGTGGTGGTGGTGGCAGCAGCGGCGGAGACGGTGGTGGTGGTGCCAGCGGTGGTGGTGGAGGCAGCGGCGGAGGTGGAGGCGGCGGAGGTGGAGGCGGTGGAGGCGGCAGCGGAGGAGGCGGTGGTGGTGGAGGAGGTGGAGCTGGTCGAGGTGGTACCCAGCAGCGTAGCGGCGGTGGTGGTGGCCAGCGCTCGCAGCGGCAGCAGCAGCAGCGCTCGCGGGACATCCCTCCGCCTCAGCAGCTTCGTGAGTGGTACGCTGGGCGTCAGAGGGGTGGGGGTACTGGTCCCTGCACCTACGTTCTTCGTTCCGGCGACCGCGCGGGTGAGCAGTGTGGGGGTGCCCACGCCACCCAGCGCTGCTTTGGCCGCCTGACGGACGCTTGGCGTCAGCAGTTCCCTGGGGCTAGTTAGATCCCTCGCTGGGATGAGCTTGTAAGGGCTGGTGTAGCGATCTTTGATCTTGATTTTGATGCTATCCTTGCTGCTATGTATGCTGTGGATTATAGTGAGGAGAATGAGGGTTACCGGTGTTTCCAGCCCGACCCGGGCATTGGTACTGCTGCGCTAGGTGCTTGTGGGGCTGCTGCTCTAGGTGCCAGTGCGTCTGTGCTCTCAGGTACTGGTGAGACTGCGCTCTCAGGTACTGCGTCGTCCTCGTCCTCCCTCACTTTCACACTTGACTCCGGGGCTTCTCGCTCCTTCTTTCGAGACCGC